AACTCTGCCAAATTCGACGTTGAAATCTTCCGTCATCTGTCCTTCTCTAAGCGGAGTCATGATATTCCACTCCTGCTTAACGATATCAAAGCCCTTCTCATCGATTACACTGACAAGGCAGAGTTGTTTGGTGCTTTCTCTGCAAAACACCTTACTACTGAATCAAAACCAGTCCCTTTCTTTCTTTCGCTTTTAGCTTTGACAATAAGTACAATCGTTAATAATAATAATAATTTTACTTAATACCAGTTGACAGGCATTGTCAGAGAAGCGTTAAGCACAAACGCGACCAACAGGGAAAAAACTCCTGTGGAAAAGGAATAAAAATATTGTTGATGGCGGTTTTCATGGTTTGGAAGGTTCAGGTGAAAAAAAACTGCTGGCGACAAACTTTCGGCCGTCAAGAAGGGAGGGGTTGCACGGTATCGGAGATTATCAGACGCCAATTCCTTTCATGAAGCTGGGGATAGTCGAAATAGAGGCGCCGAAGAACAGTTGTTGCTAATGGCTAAAGAAATTGTCCCTGGTGAGACCGGCCATAGTGTTTAGAGACCACAAACGCCATCGCTACGGTACAGTCGATCAGTGGATTCAGCACCAAAAATTTGTGGGAGCTTTTCTGAATACAAAAACCGAGTAATACTTCTCTTATATAAAGGATAATTTTGCAGAGTTTTCACACTCATGGGTAGTTTATTCCAAATAGCAATTGCATTTACAGAAAAGAACCGACGATATTTAACAGTACGTGCCAGAGGAAGAAATAAAAGGACCTCACGGTGACTGTTACGTCGGGGGTGGACATGATGTCTTAAAGAGGTGATTGGGTTAAATGTGTGATTATACAAGAGTTTAAATAGCAAAAATAGTTCCCTTTGTAATCAACGAAACCATAAAGGATCAAGGCCCGTAAGCCGGAAACGTTCTTGATAAGACAAATGTCGGTGTTCCGGGGCTTAGACTCTCTTGGTAAAAAAGTGTTGAACGGATTCTATCTTCTTCCACTCAGTAGCCCGCATGAGGCTAAAAAAACAAATAGTTTTCCAGGCCAGGTCTAACGTACATGTTGTAAATTTGCATTCTAATGTCACTAGTTTTGAAGTTTCGGAGGATAAACCCGGTCGTTCTACGTGCTTTGGAGGCTATCAAGGCACACTGCTCCGAGAGGTTGAGACTCTTGGAGAATGATGCGTCCAGATCCTTAATAACCCGAGGCACATTTATGGCGTGACCATCAATGCTTAGTTGAGGTTGGCGGTCGTCGCCAGTCACCATGACTGAGCACTTATGCCAAGAAAGAGAAAGGCGCCATGTGTGGCACCACTGGGCGAAAGCCCGTAGGTCGATCTTTAGGAGCTCAAACACGATGTCACGATCTGCCGACTTATATCGATATGCAACTTTAAGATCATCGGCATACATGAAAGGCTTACCATTCTGAAATAAATCGGGTAGATCATTAACGAAAAGGCAAAATAAAAGCAGGCCGAGTACACTACCCTGAAATTCTCCACACCTCACACGTGTGGGGTTGGAGATAGCATTGGAAGTCTTTACTCGTTGTGTACGAGTGCCCAGGCAAGAGGATATAAAATTCAAAAGTTTGCCACCTATTCCGAAAGAGGACAGTTTCAAGAGAAGAAGAGTACAGTCAACACGATCGAAAGCCTTAGTTAAATCGTCGAAATATACTGCGTAAAGTGCAAAACCATTGTTCCTAGATTGGAGAACATAGTCAAAGAAAGAGAGTTGACAGGTGTCACAAGACCGAGCTTTGAGGAATCCATGCTGAGCAGCCTAACTGTTCTTAAATTCACAGTCTGTTTACAAGTGCCCCACACAATTTGGCACCCGCATAACACACCAGGATCTCATAACAAGGGGATGGCGTTTTCCGGCCTCATGTGTGTAGACTAGCAGGGAGAGCACGTGGAGGAGGAGCCGAAAACCACCCTCCCCACATAGGTGGGAAGCGTTTGCTCCGTTCCTGTGGCCGGTGATTTGGAGCGATTTCATGTGTGGTGCACGTATGTATGTATGTATATTGAAGGGTTACAGGCACAGCCCTTGATGACCCTATTTATGTACAGTGGTTTCGCAGATTCATACTCAAAAATAAAATAAAATTGCAGGCATTTAAAATGCGATTGTGTCACAGTTCAATCGTAATCATAATGTAGTGCACGTGGTGGGGAGGTCTTGTCCGCGGATGTTTTCCGCAGACTAGCATGGGGGGCGAAGGTGATCAAGTATGCTGGCGCGGTGACTGAATATGAATAAGGACAATGCAGGTGTAGGCGGGTGTGCATGTTCGCGTTCCTTGTACTGGTTCGCCAGTACCAGTGTGGAGGATTTGCACGTGACCGACCAGTCAGATGTGTTATGTGAAAGTGTGACCGAATCCACACTGATAGTGATAAGGGGGGTGAGAGGATAGTGGCTGACTGAACGTCGGGAGTGTACTAACCAGTGATGGGACCGGAGGGAGCAGTTACCTCAGTCGCCGGATTCGTAGTAGAGGCCAGGAACTTAGCAATAGTGGACGTCGGAGGCGACGGCATGTCAGGAGTGTGGTCAACATGGTGATCGACAAGGGAGTTGGTGCATGGATGTAGATAAAGGCGTCTGATGAGTCAAAAAGGACGATTTTTTCCATCTCACCAAAAAAACTAAACTCCGCGTACATCCCTTCAAATTACGTGTGTCCCAAGGTATATTGAATGTAAGTAAGTAATTTGAAAGATGGGAAAATCCCCATAAATATGTAAAGAAGTGACAGTGGCGAGTGAACGTTCCTTTCGGTAACTCCCCATCAGGCCAATACAGTTTCATAGGACGGGGTACAGTGAGTGAGACAAAAATCGATAAAAGTTAGTTTTTAAAAACACAAGCTAGGCAAGAGCGGAAGGACGCTGAAAGTTGTATATGGTTAGTAACCTTTGACCACGGTAAGCGCGGAGCCTGAACAAGGTTCTTTTTGGCGCATAGGATCGGTTTTCGTAACCGGATAGCGGCCGCTTCTGCTGCTGCTAACAGGCGCTGGCCCAGTAGCTTAGGGTAGCTCAAGGGGACCTTATAAATCACACGAAATGCTTCAGTGGGGTCCACACGATGCCCTGAATCCACTGCATGCGCAAGGATGGCGCTGTCTATTCTCCTAATTTCACCCTTTGCCAGCCATGCGGGAAGGTGCTCTCGTATTCCCTTTGAAAGGCGCCGACTCGTACGACCAATATAACCTGCTCGAGACTGGTTGTCATCGTGCCCTTACAGAATGCGCTCCATCGGCGATCTTGACAAAGCCTTCTGTATTCGCCAT